CGCCCTCATTGCAATGTATTTTGTAGATGACTGCTGAGGTTTCAGCGGGTGGCAATGGGTTCTTAGGTTGCATCAGACGGCGTCGAATCGTTGCCTGGGGTCAATGGACTATGCCTACTATGGCGGATTATAACAGTCGAGAGACCGCCTCAGAGACCCCGTTAGCGTAGGGAATGGCTCTCCAGACTTCGGATTGCTGCTCCATTAGCCGTCGTCTGCTTCTCTGGATAAAATGCCTGGGATAACCATTGGCTGCTAATAGGTTCTGAGCGTACAATCGTTCGTCTCTTTTATCTTCTGGCGTGCTGCAGTGTGTTCCGACTCTTTGGAATAGAGTGCGGACACAGCTGCGCCTGCGAGACAGATGCCGCTGTTGAAGTGAAGGATCTGTCCCGCGTCGGTGGATTTTCTGAATACTGTGGTTTGCAGTAGTTAAGTAGGGAAGATAATGGCCTAGCGGATTATTTGTTCGACTTATATCTCTCCCGACCATCTTATGAGGGAGAGTCCGCGTCGCGATCCGAGGTTTCATCACTGAGGTAGGCCAAAATTGTCATATGTCCCCTAGTGTGTGATCTTCGTTTCCTGAAGTGTGGCCGTCACGGTGTACGGCTGCATGCATCTTACACGCCAGAGCTGATGTTTCCACGTCCTCAGGCACACGACAAAACTCACCCCCTGACGAGTTCGTGTGCAGACGGCTGCAGCGACTCGTTAATAAAACGCGGCCGAGCTTGGCATGGAGCGCGGCGGCGTTGGCGTGTGCCGCCCGCTTTCTAATTGCCGCTTCCAGTGAGGGCCAATCAGCTGGTCGCAACCACGCGTTCTCGCTATAAAATGCAGAGTAAGTCACGACGGCCAACGCTACTGACTTGTGTCGGCGCTAGCGCTGGCTGATTGATAGCGGCCATCGATCGCTGCACGCCTCAGATGGAGCGTCGGCGACGTCTTTCAAAGAAGACTGCTGGCCTGCAGGACATCAAGCGTCGTGTTTCGATAGCTGCTCATTTAATCTGACTTAGGGTTCGTTCGACGGCGCACAACACGGCCCCTAGATAAGCTCTCCCAGCATGTTATTAAGAACTCGGGTCGCTAGGATTCATCTGCTTCCCCGCCCGGAAGATGCTTTACTGTATCAGTCCTCATCAGACGAACCATCCGCACACACGGAACGGGCTAGTCGCTGCGCAAGCATTCATTTTTTTGGCTATGAACATTCACAGAAAGGGTTCCGTAGTTGGGTTTCTTGTAAGCGACCCAGGCTAGGTTGGAGGACATGCTCACTGGATATGGGTGAACGTCGAAGTTGGAGAAGGCGTTGTACCAACTGTCGTCTGAGGTTGCCTTACGGACAAAAGGGCACCTGTAAAGATGTGCCACTAAACAGCGGTGAGACTATATTACAACTGGGTTAAGAGGGTGGAAAGGGACGGTTTGGCGTTAGCAGTAGGGCTCTGGTCAGTATTTGGTAGACGGATACTCTGTCAGAGGTGTTACGCAACGCACGGACCACACGAACGACTTGATGTAGGACTCCCACTTGGACAGAACCCCAGATGCGGGGATTTGCGAAATACAGACGTGCCAGCTGGCATGGTAAAACGTATATCAGGGAGGGGATGAGCAAGAGCGAAGATGGGGATTAAAACGAGCCACCCGACGCGAATGCCTAAAAAGGACCAGTACGACACATAAACGAGTACAGAAAATCCCGAGTTTGGTCGCAGTAGAAACGATTACCGTGGCGAGACGTGGCACAAACGACCGTCATCAAATAATCGGCTGTTTAAAACGGGACAGGGCTCGGTAGCTCACCCGTGTCAAAGCTCAGACACCATTCACAATAGTCTACGATTCGTAATTTGCCCCGACGCGGCCTCCGGGTCAAATGATAAGCCCATTGGGACAGTAGCGGTTGTGTCAAACGGCAATTCGCGTCGGCGAACGGTTCGCAGGCAAACGACCATCATTGGGTCGGTGCCAGCAACTTGCACATTAGGCCGGAAACGTATACAAGAGTACTCTCTCGAAACCCACCACAACTGTGGATAGGTGTACACAGCCACTGGTTCGACAAGTCGACACCTGCTGCGTCCCGAACATTCCATCCCATCGCTTCGCGCGATACAAGTAGCCCCGATGTCGCACTGGCGCCGAGGATTCATTGTACCCATATCCCTATCGCGGGGAGTTATCTTCGGTCGGTGGTCTCCCGAACCACGGTCCGGCGTCTCACGATAGTTCGGATTTCATTTATACATAATACAGTGAAGGAATGCAGTTGACGATCAACCTCACTACCTCTTTCGCTTCACTATAAACAGGTGGGCCGTTTGAACAAAGGCCATGGGAGACGCAGAGCACATTCGCTAGATGTCACGGCGGGTGAAGATTACCGGCGTGCCTAAAGAGACGTCAAATCTCATTCACCAGATGAGCGCGAAGCCCAGAGCCACGTACCCGACATCCCTACCTGACACAAGTTCAAGACATCCAGAGGGACTAAATGGAAGGCAGTCATCCGGGAGGGGAGGATCAACCATCTACGAGAGCCCCAGCACTGCAGAACTGGCAAATCAAGTATCTGATTCGACACTCCACACAGTCTTCCGCTGCACAAAGCTCATGAACAGAACTAAGTTGGAAATTTACTAAGGCAGACCATCGAGAATGGCGAACATGGGCTACGAGACGGATGCGGGATGCCAATCGTGGGTCCCCACACAGCGCATTAGCCACTGGCTGTCCCTGGAAAGGCCCTCTGGCGGTGCGAGCCCCTTGTTTTCCAGTCTGCCCCAAGTCTTTAGTTTGGAACTAAACAATAGGCTCGCTGCAGTCGAAACCCTGGTCACAAAAACATCGGAACCCAATTCCTGTACCCCGAATTACACCTTATCGTCGGCAAAGACCTGAATGACATATGCCAGATCACTTATAACGTTCGACATCGCCATCAGTTGTGTGGTCTTAGTAAGTTGGGATGAACGTACCAGTGAGAATTGCCTAACGAACCGGTAGTCTATCGAAAACGCGACAGATGAGTCCGATCCGCCAATGACAAGACGGATTCCATCTGAGGGTAAACTGCTAGCTCGGAGCCCGAGACAAGATAGCCATCCAGTAACCCTACTCTCTTCAATCGTCGACCAACATGTGAAATCGAGATAAATACCCATATGAAGGAATAGCAGAGGAAACTCGGACGGATGCGGCGGTTGTCCCAAATAGCTGGAGTGACACCGTCCTCGTCGTTCGTAAAGCCAAGCAAGGCCAGAAAACCGGCAAAATATCGGTCTGAGCGACCTTCGTGGCTGCCGCCCCGAATTGCTTCCGGTGCAAAAAAGTACGAAGTCGGCAGTCCTCCAGACCCTAGACAACAGTCCCATTGATTTTATTTTCCGGCTACAGTCTCTGGAAGTAAATAGACCAATTGCAAGGAGGTCGTTTTTCGCCTGACGTACTAAAACACCCGCCGACGTGGTCACGATGCCAGTGAAATGCACTCGGAAGTTGTGAAACCAATCAGGACCTACCAATCCAGGCGTGCGGCGGAGTGGATGCATCGGTTCCAGCTAAAGCATTAGCCATACAGTCAAATGTACACACTAGTGGTGGAGAATACAGCCGTCACTGTGGCCCTCACTAGGGAATGCTGATCCGCATGGTAACTCGGTTAGCAAACCAACATACACCCAAGGTACGGAAATAAAAGCTCACAGCTTTGACGCAGGGCTCAAAGTGCGAGGGAGCAAATGTCGCCAAGCCACACTGCCTGAGCTGGAAGGCTTTTTGGCTTATGATGGGTGTTCAGCTTTTAGAACCCAGTGACTTTCTGGTACCTTGTCAAGTAATCCTACATCAACTGAGAAAGACAGCGCACTACAGAACGTGCTCTGACAAAAGGCTGGTCGTCGCTCTGACGTACAGTCTTACAAGCTCCTAGTTTCCCATCGAGTGAGGTTAGACGGTCCCGACTGCGGCTCCAGCAGCGGAAGTGGAGTGTTAAGAGACACCTAAATGCGGCCTAGCACACAGGGGAAAGGGGAGGCGCGTACGTGGGCTTTTTCTCCACTGAAAATTTGTAGAAAAAAATAACAATGCTCCACCGACAAACAAACGCAAAAAATAACGCCATAGGCACTGCGGGGAAAAAGAGCCGGGTGGCGGGGGTCTCCTCTGCCAGATATTGGCACACGCTCAGGCTACAACCGCCGCGCGCGGACGAGGAATCAGTGTCTTCATCGTCATCCACACCACGGAGGCGGAGGACCGAGTAAAAAAATCGGGGAAAAAGGCGGGGAGAGTGAGGGGTTTGTTGGCAGTGACATCAGGTAGGAAGTCTTAACGGGGAACGTCAGAAAAAGGGAGTAAGGGGGGGGGGCGAGGGACTCCTGTAGGAGGAGGGAGGCTGAGTGGATATTTTAAAACAAAATGCACCCGAAATGCAGTACGAGAACCTGGTGGATTGCCTGCACGCTAGCTTGATGGGTGCCTCAGAGGGAAAGGCCCGAGTTGGGAAGGAAATTGGCGTGTTCGAGCTGACTGGTTGCGACATCAGAAACAAAACACTGGGTGGCGTTGACAAACTCCTTGCTTTATCTCTACCGTTTAACGCTGATGCTCATCTCTTTGTCGTTGCTACTGAAGGTTGGCGATAATTTAGCAGCAGAGGCGTCTGAGGACGATGGTGACAGACAAGTGGAGGCGACAGCAGCAGGAAGAAGTCGGCGGAGGGAAGGAGACCGGTGACAATGACGGCAAAGTTGTGTTTTTGGTTGTCTTAATTCAACTGAACGGAAAGCGGTGTGCGCACTAGTGTGTTGCAGAAGGCATGTAGATACGGATGAGAGAAGCACGGGCATGTGTGTGGGTAGGCAACTAAAACGCTAAAAACCTCAAAGTAAAACCGTCTAGTGTGCTGCACACATGATTGACGTAAGTACAGCATTGTCTTTACCGAGTCGATGGCTATGGCGTTTAACTACTTTCAGTGGGGATTTTTACTTCTTCTGTGATTTGCGACGGGGATTGCTCTTAGCACCCTCCACGGCCTGACCTTCAACAGACGCAGCTTCTCCAGTAGCGACCGGCACGGCGGCTTCAGCTTTCTCGGACTTTGATTGCTCCACAGTATGCCTGAAAGGGAGATCAAGAAGAACCCGAATAATTAGGTCAGTGAGTAGAATAGTATCCATGTTGTCGGTAGCAACACCCCCTCTGATCTGTCCTGTTCCAGCGGAGGAGCAAGTGAGACTCCTAGTGAAGTTGAGCAGGATAGCATTCCGTTCGAGGACGCCCGGATGCTCGTTTTTTTCATGCAAGTGTACTTTATCATGCCATGTTTGTCAAACAAAATAAGTGATTTTCCCTTATAGACAACAGAAGTCATCGCTCGATTTTTACTGAAAGGCAAACAAACGGACGCAGGAAGCACGAACGTCCACCAAGGTTAATTTCTTGCCGATAACAGTATTTTGATTTACTATGTTACCGATCACCCCAAGAGACTGACATGCGGAGGGGGAACCATTATTGGGTTCGGTGTAGGTCATGCTCAGGAGGACTGCACCGCCTTGTCGCCCTTTTCGACTTGATTTGGACAATAACTCAGGGTGAAAGATGGACATGAAACATCAAGCAGTCATCAGAAGCCACTAATTAATAAAGCGCCAATTACACGTAGCGGAAAATGCTAAAAACTGAAGACGTCAAACTAAGATGCAGTGTCGGCCCTGTTTCTGAGTTTATTGTGGTGTAGACACTGAGTTAGACGATCTCCACCGTATGCAGGACAGCAAGGTGAGAGCAGAGACAGTGACTTGCGCAGCGTCTACTGCACTCCCTTCTCCTCGCCCACCTGGACCCGGTGTCAAGACAGAGTCAAGAAGGCTGGCGACGGAGGGAGCGCAAGTGGATGGCACAGTCGAGCCCGCGCTTTGGTTTTCCACTCCACACCCCTGGTCCACACAACAGATAACCAGGTTTTTGACCAACAACGACGAAAGAGTGGGGGCTGACACGGCCGAAGCCGCACCTAGGCGTGCCGCCATACCCGGCTCGGATCCCACGCGGTGGATGCGCCATAAGGGTCACACTAATAAGGAGCCATTGCAGGCTGACTCTCAGACCACCAGCCGGCCACTCCACACCAGCAGACACAACACTGGGTCGACTGCGAGATCCAAGTTATCCCGTCAGTTGGCAACCTTCCAAGCTACGGCTTTTAGCGCACCGTAATAGCTTCAGGCGCGTCAGATAGTTTATAGTGGGGAAAATGCGCCGACACGTCGACCTCACTCTCCCTTCCCATTTACATGCCTCAGTCACTGTCCGAGCCGGTCATTTGACTGATGTGGGGAATGGGGGTATAGACACACAGCAAGGCTAATACACACGGCGCATGTGTACTTTCCCATTTTGAGGTAACCTACGTGATACGGATACGTCATCAAAGATCAACATGCCGCCCAGGCGGTTTGAGACATGGGAGAGCATAGTAGCAAACCGACAAAGCTCACCCGCTGCTATTCTTTCCCGACTCGTTGCCGTTGACTTCTTCCTCGCAACCGGCACCATTTACTTCGGCCTCGTCCTTTGAGTAGGAAGAGGCAGGTGCGCGACGACCGCCAGCATTGCCAGAACCACGGTGACGCTTATTCATGCCGCCGCGACGATCGCCACCGGACATTTCACCATCAGAGGGCCTCGTCTGTTTCTGATCTTGGTGGTCGTGCTCGTTGTCCAAGGTGTCACCGGAGAAACGTGGTGGACCGCCACTACCACCACCAACCCATCGGCCACGATAGCCTTGACCATCCATAGGTCGGCGCGCGCCACGTCCGCCAAACTAGGAAAGATAACGGAAAAAATCAAAAGAGCCTTGCGGTTTCAGCCATAATGAAAACAGCGCGGCATGGCAGAACCCCCCCCCCCCCCAATCGTGTGGGTATGGGTCCCTGGGACCCGGGATGACAACTTTTCAGTTAGTTATAAGACAGGGCGTCAGGTAGTGGGTCCTTCTATCTACTGTCAAATGTGGGCATCGCTACTTGTTGACAAAACGTCCACGTAATGATCAGGACTGTAAGAACCATTGGAAGAAATAAAGAACTCGGTTCTAGGAAATCAAGCACTATTTCCAAGATGATATTACAACACCAAGAATGCATGTAAGAGTTGAGTGCGCTTCAAAACGCCCCAGAACCGTGCGAAGATGGTTTGGAGGCACACCTAGGCAAGGTTAACGTGGTCTGAACGGATGTCTTTGACGAACCAGATTTGCCATAGCAAGCTTCGACGTGAAATCGAAACGCCTGTATGATCGACAAAGTAGACGTTTGTTGTTTGTGCCAACGATGCCCCACGGTCAGGGCACTCGTAGTCGGCGTATCTTACTGTCTGAGGTTCAGCCCACTGAAGGATGGAGCAGGTCCAGCTCCGAAGCAATATCTCCGATGCAGACGTAACCTCCCACACACCAGCTCAGAGTGAAAATGGTGACGCAAAGTATTTCACCTGCAAAAGCCTACCAACCACACCGAGGCAGAAATCTCATCTTTGTGACCATGGTTAGTTTGTTGGCTGAAATGTGTGGGACGCACGGACCCAGTAGACGAGTGGCAAGTTGTACAAGGGGGGGGAGGCGTTCAGTTTGCTGTCCGCTAGCGGCTGTTTGTGAGAAACTGGTCTGCAAACTGAATCGACTATGTACTGATGAGCTGCTCGATGGGTTATTTCGACTCATCACGGCCACTTCATGTGGGGAATTACACATAGAAATAAAACCATTTCAGAATAAGGGGTGCTGAGGGCATCCATGTGCACTCAGTTAGCGACTACGAAAAAACATCCCTTATATATACGGGGTGTCCCAAGTTGCTATACACCCCCCCCCTTTTCTATTTCTTTTTAGGTATTCTTCGGAGAGACGTTAAGCCACTAGCATTTAACAACGCAGGCTTTGTAGTCTTAGTAAGCATATCATTCCCTCGTCTATGGCAGCTGCCTGGCGAGATGCTTTTTAACCCTCGACTGCAGTCCAGTGTGCGGTTGAAAAGCTTTATGGTCGTTACACCGCCTAAACACGTAGCGCAATCTGCGCCTTTCCATGGCAAATTTCTCGAAGCAGGATCTGCTCTTGACTAACCACGCAGTGAAAGGCCTGCTACTACTGATGAAAACACCAGACTTCTGGAACAGACGTTCGCGTAACGCCAAGGAAAGTTCACCCAGAGGGCTGTACCGAGACTCAGCATCAACGAAAGCTCGATTCGGCTGATACTTCGGAGTGATAAGACCCTACCTGTACCGACTTCATGCTTCTTAAACCTCTCAAACGGAAGATTGTGCTCGTGTGAAATGTGTGAATCACTCCTCCACTGTTACTAAAAGGACTCTCAGCTCTTGATTCAGCGACGAGTATGTCTGATCGGGTAAAGCGACACAAGTGTGGAGTTTGAGAAAGTACAGCACAGCAGCAACTCTAGAGCATGAACCAGGCTGGTGGTTTGGCGTGCCATTTCTAGCATTGGGCTGATTGGGCCATGATTTTCCGCAATGCACCCGGTAACACAACCGCCGCTAAAGGAGGAAAATTACCTGGAGATGCTGCACGAGTTTGACATTCTACAAATTCAGATGAGAAGTGGCCTTGCCAATGTCTTCTTTCAACAAGACGGAGCCTCTCATCACTTTTCTAGTTAGTGAGGGACTTCCTGATCGATGGATCGGCCGAAGGCGGCCCCTAGAATGGGCTCTGCGCTCCACTGAACCTAAACCTGCGAACTATTTTCTCTGGACTTATATCAAAAGCAAGGCGGACGCCGCTGAGTCCTGTGTTCTGTCGCGGCTTGAGGAAAGAGTTAGCACGTCCCTCATCGAAATCGGAAAAGAGATGCTACAAAACTTCGAAGGCTTGCGTCCCAAGGTAGCTGAAGGCTGTCGAATATGGAGGCGCCTTTGTGGAGGCATACAATCTTCGAGGGGTTGGAACTTGACGGCAAGTCTAACAAGTAAAACCGCAATGACTCCTTCGTTGATCGTAAAAATATGAATAAGCTGTTTCCGGTGTAACTTTTGAGAACACAAAAACTGAAAGCGAACACCAAACGTCTCGGGCAAAAAAATGAATAGACAAGACATCCCGAAAAGTGAGTTACTTCTGACACCCACGCAAGATGGCCTCAGCTCCATAACGAGGCCTCCAGGCAACCAGAGGGTCACTTTTCCCGATTCGTCTCAACTAATTCCAAAAAGGCTTGCTTTGATGTGAGGTGGATGACATCACTTAGGCAAGAGGATTGGGAAATAAATCAAGTCCTCAAAAACGGACATCCCTGGTAAAAGCGACAGTGGGCTCGGCTTCGGACGCCGTCACTAATCGCAGCCAGTATGGGTTGCTTTGTGCAAACACACGTCGGCGCACAATATAAAAGCGAAAACTCGCGCGTAGATCTAAAAAAACAGAACCAGTGAGTCATGCACTACGCCTTACTGGCACTGACTGCAGAATTCCTGTTAGCAGAACCGATTGCGCGGA